TCTAAGGGCATCCATATCTTTTAACTTTTAAAATGGTCACCTAAAAAAATTCAGGAACCACTGTTAGAATTATGTTGTCAACATCAGATATTACTATTGAGATTTGGAATCTGTGAAGGATAGTGGTATTCTTTATGATATTTTGTCTTCCCATACAGAAACGTGCTACTGTCTCTTCACTTAGTCAAGATTTCTTTTATGCCTAATAGTAAGTTATTGTAATTTTATTTATGTAGGCCCTAAACATTTATTATTAATTTAATGTCTTGGTATTTTTAAATCTCTTAATGGATCTGCTAACGAGCTTTCTCTAAGAAAGAAAGGAAACAAGAAGTGGAGGGAAGGAAGGGAGCAGGGAAAGAAGAGAAGGAAGGAAAATGAGGATTGGAAAAGGATATACAGAGTATTCTGAATAGTCTGGATGCAGTTTAACCTGCCCCTGGTAATTTCATTTTTCTTTGTAAGTTCTTTAAACATATAAATAATTAAAAATATAAGTTAGTAAAAAGTTACTATGAAAGTATGTTATGATTTTGTCAAAATACTATGAAATACATTATTGAATAACTTGATTCTAGGGTCTTTTTAAAGCATTACTCTTTTGCCTGTGGTTTTTGCCATCTTTTAGAGACTTGACTGTTGTTCTAGGATAGAACATTTTTATACTTTATTTTGGTGAAGCATAACCATATCGAGTAACATTTCAGGACTTTATGTTGCATAATCTTGGACATTTTCATATAAGAAGGCACTAAGGAAATTTTATTTTTCATGAAAGTGCAACTCTTAAGTTACAGTGAGTGTTTTTTATGGGGTAGCTCCAGACCACATTTGCTTACTTCCCACGCTCTAGTTTTTCTGATGTCCTAAGCTTTAAGTGTAGAGGTCAGAATGACATTTTAGGGCTCTAAATTTGAATCCCATAATCTTAAAATGAATATTTTTGAGTTTATCAAAAAGTCTACTTCCATTTTCATTGTTTTTGGATTTTTAAAACATTAGTTTTTTTATGTTTTAATATTTATTTTTGAAAACTTTTTATCTTGAAATTACACACTTACCAAAAATTCCAATAATTATACAAAGAATTTTTATTTACCCTTAACTCACATTCCCCAAATGTTCAGATTTTACCACATTTGCTTTATCATTGTGTTTGTCTCTCATTTTTTGAAATGTTTGAGAATAAGTTTATTAGCATGAGGTGCCTTTATACGCGATACTCCAGTGTGTATTTCTTAAAACAAGGACATTTGTCAAAATCAGGATATTAATGATAAAAATACTATTGTCTATAAGCATTTAAATTTTGCCATTTTTCCCATTAATTTTCCTTCTAGGAAAAAAAATGTCATTTTCTCTCCCTCACAGTAAGGGATCTAATACGAGAATCATACGTTATATTTAATTGTCCTCTTTCATTATCTTTAATCTGGAATGGTTCTTTGGTTTGTCTTTGTCTTTCATGGCCTTGAAAATTTAAACTGTTCAGAACATGTTTGCTCTTTTTATTTATTTATTTATTTATTTATTTATTTAGTTAGTTAGTTAGTTAGTTGAGAATGCCGCTCAATTTTGGTTTGTCTGATTTTTCAGGATTAGATTTTGGCTATGCTGTGATCGTATCAGGAGATATGGTGTTTACTTGTTCCATTACTGATGACAATATTAACTGTGATCACTTCTTTAAAGTGGTGGTGGTTCACATTTTTAAAGAACACAGTTTTTTGGTGTTTTTTTTAAGAACACAGTTTTGATGTTCTCTTAAGTTTTTGCCTTCCTTTGCTGGATTGAGTCCTGGGGTCCTTTCCAGGACTCAGTAGAAATATCTATGTAAGTATATGCCTACTTTAAAAGATTTTTAAATTTTACTCTATTTTGGACATTATTAGCTTCTTAAGACTTGTTCATTTTCAGTGGGATTTTATTGTTCTCTCATAGCTGTCCTCTCCTCTAGGTTGTACACATTCCTTAAGGGTAGGGGTTGTGTGCATTTTGTCCATCCTGTCTTCAGTGCCCAGCACAGTTCCTACATGCAACAGATAGTAGATACTACCTAGCTGATTGGTTGTGGTTGGTTAGTGGTTGAATGGACAAGTGGATTATTCATTTGTGGAAATTTGCCATTTCAGATCTTCTAATATATTAGTTTTATTTTGAGTTCAACATAATTTAAAAATCACCTATCACTCTCTTGATAATTTGATATGCTTTTGGTGTGGTTCTCTAGACATGGTTTTCAAAGACTAGTAGTCTAGGCATATCACGTCCTATATGTTTAATGTTTTATTGATTCATCTTGTCAGATGGATTTTACATTTTCTTTTAAACTTGTTATTTTTAAATGGCCTGAAATGTGACATTAGCAAAATTGTTCTGACTATGATAATTATTACCACACCTCTTATTATTCTACTTGTTTGTAATAATCACTTCAAAATTTAGGAGTAATTTAAAGTTTTTATTTCTGTTTTGCTGCTTTTGCACAGAGGCTTAGAGAGATCACATACCCACTGTTAAAAAGCTGCCGAAGGGTGAGCTAGGGTTTCTAACTCCTAATTCAGTATTCCCCTCTACCATAGCATTTTCCATATTATTGTAGTCTTATTGCCTGCCCACTAGGAATTTATCGTAACACTAAATCACTTTGTTCTATCAAGGCAGATTATATGTGGTTTACTAATGACCACCTCATATTTTGAGACTCTTCTCCCTGTGAATATATCTTTTATCCTTTTTTTTTTTTTTTTTTTTTTTTTTTTTTTGAGACATTGTCTCATTCTGTTGCCCGGACTAGAGTACCGTGGTGTCAGCCTAACTCACAGCAACCTCAAACTCCTGGGCTCAAACGATACTTCTGCCTCAGCCTCCCGAGTAACTGGGACTAACAGGCATGTGCCACCATGCCTGGCTAATTTTTTCTATATATTTTTAGTTGGCTAATTAATTTCTTTCTATTTTTAGTAGGAACGAGGTCTCGCTCTTGCTCAGGCTGTTTTTGAACTCCTGACCTTGGTGATCTTGGAGGCCAACCCACCTTGGCCTCCCAGAGTGCTAGAATTACAAGTGTGAGCCACCATGCCTGGCCTCTTTTATCCTTTTAAAGACTTCTTTTTTAAAGCAGTTTGAGGTTAACAGCAAGATTGAGCAGAAAGTACAAAGAGTTCCCATATACCCCTGCTCACCCAACCTCCCTCACTACCGTGTTTCCTTGAAAATAAGACCTACCCATAAAATAAGCCCTACTAGGATTTCTAAGCATTTGTGCAATATAAACCCTACCCTGAAAATAAGACCTAATGATGGGCGTGGCTACGCAGCGTATCAGCACAACCCATGCATTTCCTCGTGGAGCGGTAAAGAAGATGAGCAGCCCTTCTCATCTGCCCCATGAGAGCTCTATTGCTCAACATGAGAGATTGGGGCCAATGGTTCTAAAGGAAATAGAGCCGCAAGAAATTCAGGATGGAATTCGGGATTTGGAGAGTTATGATGATGTTCCAGAAGAAGATGACTTAACTATATTTGAATAAATATAGATTGTTGTACCATACTTAAAAAAAAAAAAACACCCCCTGAAAATAATCCCTAGGGTGTCTTCTTGAGGAAAAATAAATATAAGACCCTGTCTTATTTTCGGGGAAACACATCATCCCATACCAGAGTGGTGCATTTTTTGTACCATTGATGAACCTACACTGACAAGCCATTATCACCCAAAGTCCATAGTTTACATTAGGGTTCACTCTTGGTGTAGTACATTTTATGGGTTTTGACAAACATATGTATCCACCATTATAGCATCATACAGGGTAGTTTCACAGCCCTAAAAACCTTCTATGCTTTGTCTGTTCATCCCTTACCCCTCCCTACCCCATGGAAATCACTCATCTTTTACTGTCTCTGTAGTTTTGCCTTTTCTAGAATGTCATATGGTTAGATCACAGAGTATATAATCTATTACAGATTGGATTTTTTCACTTAAAAATACGCATTTAGTTTCCTCCATGTCTTTATTTTTATTTTTCATTTTTGTGGAGACAGAGTCTTGCTCTTTTGCTCTGGCTAGACTACAATGGCGGCATTGTAGCTCGCTGCAACCTCACATTTTTGGGCTTAAATGATCCTCCTGTCTCAGCCTCCCAAGTAGCTGGGACTACAGGCACATAACACCACATCTGGCTAATCTTTTCTATTTTTCGTAGAAATGGGGTCTCTTGCTCAGGCTGGTCTTGAACTCCTGGCCTCAAATGATCCTCCTGCCTTGGCCTCTCGAAATGCTAGTATTACAGGTGTGAGCTATCATACCCAGCCCTTCTTTGTTTTTTCATGACTTGATAGCCCATTTCTTTTAGTAGTTAATACTATTCCATTGTCTGGATATACCACATTTTATCTGTTCACCTACTGCAGGACATCTTGGTTGCTTCTAAGTTTGGACAATTATGAATAAAGCTGCTATAACATTTGTCTGCAGGTTTTTATATGGACATAAGTTTTCACCTCCTTTGGGTAAATTCTAAGGAGTACAATGCTGGATTGTGTGATAAGAGTAAGTTTAGTTTTGTAACAAATTGCCAAACTGTCTTCCAAAGTGGCTGTGCTATTTTGCATTCCCCACCAGCAATGAATGACAGTTCCTGCTGCTCCCTATCCTTGTTAGCACTTGGTTTTATCAGCATTCTGGATGTTGACATTCTAATGGGTCAGTAGGGTGTTTCATTGCTGTTTTGATTTCTGCATTTCCCTAATGAAGTATGTTGTTGAGCATCTCTTTATGTGCTTATTTGACATATCTTTTTTGTGAAATTCAGGTCTTTTTTGTTTGGGTTGTTCATTTTCTTTTTTTTTCTTTTTTATATTCTCTTTTAAGAGTTCTTTTTTCTTTGGCACCATCTAGTGAAGATACAGAGAAAGCTTTGAGGACATAAAGAATGATTTATTTTTTCAAAGGAAAACTCCTCTCTTTCTGTTTCTCTCCTTTTACCTTTGTCTTTCAGTTATACCTGCCGCCACTTGCGGAGATATGTTTATGTGTTGGACAAACTGTGTTTCCCCCACTCTCACTGTTCTACGCTTCAGCATTGCTTCTCGACCCTCAGTGACAATGGAGAGGAACTCTTGTCTTTAACTTGCTCTCACATTCTCAGATCCTATGCTTCCAGGTTATTAACCTATGCTGTCCATTTACTGCATGCTGCATGTTGTATATGACTGATAATTGCATGTTTTAATGGGACACATGTCAATTAAATGATTAAAGAGAAACTTTATATTTGAAATGATACTAAATAATTTTTTAAAATAACAGCTGGGATTTGTTTCCTTTCAAATGTCATCTTAAGTACTTTTATATTATGTTTCATGGGAAAGAGGAAAACTTTCAACCACACAGTTGTGTAAACTTGCCAGAACTTTCCTATACCTTGTTCCATTTGGAAACCTTTTGATTTAATTTATGGTAATTGGAGTGCTCTGTCTCACTTGTATTTGAAATAGCCTGTACAATTACTGAGACATACAGATGAACATTGAGTTCTCTTTCATGCCTTGTGAGCACACCTGAGAGCTAGCTGTAGGATTTCACCCGTGTTCTAATAGAGGCACATTCAGTTGAGCAGGTTTGATTTTATAGGAAGGCAGAAATTATTATCCTATTGAGTTTTGTGTTTCTTACTCATTTTATTTACATACAGAGTAGTTATAAAGTCAGCAAGTTTCAATATGTCATGGGTGAATGTAGATTAAACATAATGATGGTGGGAGTAATACGAAAGAGACAAGCTATCAATCTCAAATATCAGAGAAAATCAGCACCTGCTGTTTAGTGCGTATCATGCACCAAAATGGAGGGGCAGTATGACATTACTGCTTTGTACTTTGCAGTTGACATTTTTAACACACTTTTTTTTTATAAGTCAGAGATGACTTATACCAGCACTATACTGTTAGCCAGATATGATAATTTAAGGCAATATCATCACTGCCAGATGATTTAGATGAAGAAGGAAAAAACTCCATGACAACCTTAACAAGAAAATAGAAAACATTTAGAATTAAAATAGACCTTTCCAGATGAAGAAACATACAAAAGCTTTAGACTACACATTATATCTAAGTGAAAACACTTTGATTATTAGAAAAGGAAGATGATGTGGCATATATAATGACAGATTTTCTTGGGAGCAGAAAGATTTTATAGATGGTCATGATGTTGATCAGGCTTTTATTGAGTCAATATGGGTACTTTTGAGAAATCAAAAAACCAGGAATAGAAAAGCAAGTGAAAATGGTATTAATAGAATTAACCTTTGAGTATATAATATAGAAGGATTTATCAAAGTTACCAAACTAAAGCCAGTGACTTTCCACTGACTTATGTAAAGTGACTTATGTAAAGTGAGTGAATATCAGGTAAGTGAATGATACTCTTAGTAATTGGAGACAAAGCTTTTGGGTTGCAAGGAATGTGGAGAGCTGCTACCAATCATTGAGCCTCTTAAATGGGCAGCATAATGGACCTTACCCTTATTTACTAGTGTATCAGTCAAGGTTCCCCACAAAACCAACAGGAGAGATTATGTATATGTGGGGAAACACAGATGTTTTAGGGAATTGACTGGTGATTATAGGGGTTATCTGTAGGACAGGTCAGCAGGCTGGAATTCAGGTAAGCGTTGATGCTGCAATCCTAAATCCACAGGGCAGGCCATCAGGATAGAAACTCAGGCAGGATTCTTATGTTGTGGTCTTGAGACAGAATTCCTTCTTCCCAAGGAAACCTCGGTTTTGTATGACCATCAATTGATTGGATGTGTCCCACTTACATTATAGAGGGTAAGCTGCTCTCCTTAAAGTCAGCTGAGCATAAATGTTAATCACATCTGCAAATACCTTCACAGCAACAACTAGTCTCGTATTTGACTGGAGAACTGGGCACCATATAGCCCAGTCAAGTTTACATATAAAAATAATCATCACACTATGCTGCTTCTTTTTATTCTTCTGTGTATGTTATCTGTTGTATACATTTTCTTTATGTGTTATGTTACCTGTCCTATGGTTTTGTGGAGACTGTAAGCCTCCTGGTGGTAAACACCATATTCTTATTTATTGTTACACATCCTGTAGCCTCTCATGCCTGATACATTGTTAACCCTCAGTGATGCTGCTGGCAGCAGGTTTTACTATTTGCCATTTGTGACAGAGGCCCCTGTCTCCTTTCTTCTGGAGTCACACCTCTCACCTGGCAGGAGCACACAAGAGAGATAGATACACAGTCTACAGGGAAGATAAAAGGAAATGAAAGGAAAAGGAAAGAAGGAAAACAAAATAGGGAGGAACAAAAGTACTGAGGGGAAAGAGGTTGAAGACACTGTGATTCCTGAGGCCCCCTTCGCCTGATGACTACAGAGTTAAATCTACCCTCAATTTTTAAGTTGGTTTAGAATTCCCTTCATATCTTCTGTTTCCTCCTTCAGCACCTTTCCTGGAACCCTCTAATCCCTTACCCACTTGAGTTCCTTTCCCTCCTGAGTACTGTCAGCTATGGTTTTAAGGTATTAAGGCTTCAAAGGGTATTTGTTTCACAAAGCCCTCCTGAAGACTGAACAGCCTTTAGGATGCATCTGTAATGAAATGTCAGGCCCTGGATGGCCTAGGTAGGAGGAAGCTTGAGTGAGGAAACTTTATAGCTTTTGTAATGCATTTTCACATTTTGATTGTTCTCCAGCAGTCTTCCATCTTTGCTCCTTTCATTCCAGGGCTACTGTATCAGGTATGGTGTCTCTGGGCCTCCAAGTCTGCCAGTCCTGTCTGTTTTTTCTGAACAACAGAAAACTAATACAGAGTTATTACAATGTGTTGGTTAGGGACACAGGCTCTGGAGTTAAGGCCCCTCCCTCCCTAAACTCCACTGGCTTTCACTCCTGGCTCCACCACTTGGGATCTGGGACAGTACACTGGGCACAGCTCCATTTAGGACAGACCTCAGAATGGGGGTGTGATTTGCATAGAAGGAAGTATCTCATGTTATGTTCATTTGCAAGTGACTGACATCGTGGATACACAGTGACCTATGGTCAAGTATAATCTAGTTCCTGCAGTTGAGAGATGTTCTTTCAATAAAACTACATTGTATAGAAAGAAAAACCAAGCCAAATATTTGAATGGAACAATCACAGACTCACTTCACAAAATCACATAGCATTTGGGTATGCAAAATGTTTAAAATGTAAATAATTTCCTAGAGACAAATATATGCTTATTCCTTAAGAAAGAACTTTACCTTATTCTAACGTGAATTGCTGCTATAGATAGAAATCTCAGTTATTCTGCTGCAAACTTCTTCCCAATGTAAGAATTCTTTGTATAGACTCCCTGAAAGATAGTTTCTGGGTGCTTCTTAATCTCAGGAGCAGTAAAGTTCTTACTGTTTTATTTTTAGAAAGATGTTAAATCTGCCTACCAATAATTTTCATATATTAGATATAGCTCTATGCTTGGGAGAAGTACACAAATGTATAAACCGTGCTGCTGATGAGATCCCTTCATGTTTTTGAAAATGTTTTGGAAATCCTGTCATGGATTCCCCTTAATTTTTTTTTCTCTTCGGCTAAACACTTTTGTTACTACAACCATTCCTGACAACAGATGATTTTTTTATTCCATCTTCTTCTTATCTTCCTGGATGATCTATATTTGGCAGCACCCATCATAAAATTTGGAATCCAGAATTGAATGTAATATTTCAGTTATACTTTATAATTTAAAATATTATAAATTAAATTATAGCTGTCAGTTTGTCCTAACACTGCACTGATTTTTGAGAACAGACACACCTTGGGTCATCTAGAATTCCCAAGTCTTTTCCCTACAAACACAAATCTTCCCTAGACTTCTTGTATATTTAATATGTATTAATTTTTTTCCCTCTCACTTAGACTTCACAAAGCTATAAGCCTTTCAGACCTGGTACTTCCTCCATTTCACCCCCAGAAGCATTGAACTCAACTCTAAGTTATCAACCTTAAATTTGACTTCTCTAGAAATCAAATTTATAAATTTTGAATGAGCACTTGAGAATTTTTTAATTAATTGCTGGTAACTACACGAAGTCAAATGCTTTGCTTACATTTTTATGTCCATTTTAAGTTCCACTTAGCTTTCAGGGTGCAGTGTGAATAAGTGATGAGAAATCTGTGAAGTAAGAAAATACCTATCTTCTTTTAATTGACTATTATATATTTTGCTGATGTCAAAATGTAGCTTCTAATATAATTTGAACCCAAGGCAAGGAGAAACAGAGAATGTTCAGTGTCAAGATAATTCTGTTGTAGTAGTACAATTTATTTTAAGTTATTATAACTCAGGGCTTCAGATTGTTGCTGCCTGACGCTAGAAGGCAAAGAGCATCATCAATCTTTAAAAATTATTTTCTAACACGTATTCAGTTCAAAACATGATGTTCTCTTCTTATAAAATTAAGCATGTTAACACTGAAGTCCATGGCTAGTTAATACTTTGGTTCCTAACCTTTTGGGGGTAAATTATGAACCCTTTCTTAGAAATTGAAATTTTTGCCTCTAAATTTGGAGTTAACACAAACTTGATTTAGTTAGAGTGTTAAATATAGCTGCTCTGAAAGCCTCTCCCCTTACCCCACACCAAATAACAGTAGCTTGAAGAAGAAGATAGAAGTTTATTTCTCAAGTAAAAGTCTGAGCTGGTGTGGCAGCTCTGCCCCTTAGAATTTTTAAGACGCAGAGTCCTTTTCTCTTGTTCTCCACCACCCCCAGTGTCTTGCTCTCATCGGAAAAGTCTGGAATGGCTCACCACAAGTTCTGCATTCCAGACAACAGGAGTGTGGAAGGGACTAAAGTAGGAGGTAAATTTCCATTTTAAAGGCATCACACATCCCTTTGCCCAAAAGCTAGTCATACCTGCTTGGGAAGCTGGAAATAGAGTTTTTAGCTGAGTGCCTATGTGGTCTACTAAAAATTCTCTTATTAGGTAAGAAGAGACAGGTGTGGGGACAACCAACAGTGTCTGCCACACCATTGAGAGTTCCTCTCTTGGGTAAAATAAAATTAACAAATGCTTATACAGTGATTACTCTGTGGTTAGTCCTATGCCAGGCAGTAAGAGAGGTTCATTGTGAAATCAGGAAGATAAGACAAAACCATTGGTAGAAATCATTGCCTTGTACTGTTAAATATGAAATTAGTAATGTATAAATTAGTAATATATAAAAAGAGATCTCTTCTGACAGGGATCTGAAGTGTCCTCAAACAAGTAGGATTTGAGTAGGAACTAAGGCTAGATAATGTTTGATTCGCAGAGCAGGTATGGAAAACTCAAGTGCAGAAGTTCACATATGGGAGAGCATATGATGTATTCTGGGGCAATAAATAAGGTCATTTGGCAAAAGCAGAGGTATCTGTGGGATTAATCAGTGTTTCAACTAGTTGTATTGTCTAGGACCAGACTCTTAAGAGCCTTGAATGCTAGACCAGGCCATTGCATGTTTGTTTTTAACACTTTTTTGTTTGTGTGTGGATTTCTGGAGGCACTTGAATTTTACTTAGTGTTTTTGAGCATGAATGTGATATAGTCAATGAATGCTGCTGCTTCTGATTGTCATTGTTTAAAAGAATTTGAGAGGAAAGAATCTGACGTTAGGTAATAGACTAACACAGAGACTACCTCGCTGTGGCAGTAGAGATGCAAAAAGAAGGCTTCAAATTGAGGTGAATTTTGAAAAATATGAATCGAAGAGCCATATCAAGAGAACATAATTGAACATTGAAATGGTATAGTATGAAATATAAGCAGGAACTCTTTTTTATTACTTTTGTGCATGTAATTAGTTCTTATCAACATTGTAAATATTTAGTATGTATCATTTGTGTGGTTATACTTTATACCTTAAGATTGTGCTCTAGATATTCTTGTTACCAATAATTTAAAAGTTTTGTATAATCAGTTTGGTAAAAGGTTGATTCTTTTAAGAGTAAAGACTTTTTAAACTGCTCAATCATTTTGAGATTTGTTTCAGTATACTAAAGACACAGTATACTACCCAATCCTGGATTATTGTCCAATTGTAAGTTATATGTATAATATAAAGAATGGTGATTCAAGAGATCTGTCATACAAAATGGTGACAGTTGTTAACAGTGTATTGTATACGTGAAAATTGCTAAGAGTAGATTTTAAATGTTTTCACTGCAAAAAAAAGAAGTTTGCGAGGTAATGATTATTAATTCAGTTGAGTTAGTCATTTTCACAATATATACATAACATCATGTTGCACACCATAAATATACACAATTAAAAAAATTTTGAAAAGGAATGGTGAAAAATAGTGGCTTCTATAAGAAATATGCTAGAGATATCTACCAAAAAGTTATTAAAATGTTAATATCTTGGAATTTACCCTCAAGAAAGAATATAACCTGAGGAAACAGTTATATTTAGGAATAAAACAAAAGATTGGTCAAATAAACTGTATCCTATCAACTCAATTGGACTATCATGCAGCCATTGAAAATATTACAAAGAAAAATAACTAGAAATATGGAAAAGATTTGATATAATGTTAAATAAAAAAATAATAAATTATAGACCACTACTAGAACTATATAAAAATTTTTATTTATATATATATATATATATACACCAAAACTAGATAATATATAATAGTAGTAGAACACTGGCAAAATATACATGATGTTTCTTTTTAAAATAATTTCAAATTTCTTTTAAGATTTTTAAAAATTATACCAATTTAAATGATAAGCTTCTCATCTCCCTTTTCTCTGCCCTTCTTCTCATTGCCCCAAGTTACACATATGTCTTTGGCTTTTCTTTTCTTTTTTCCCCCCCTGCCAACATAATATAATGTCATTTTATTAGTTGGCAAAGAACTGCAGTGGTTTATGGGAATAGATAGGTGTTCTCCAGTCTGATCAT